TGCCATCAGGAATTGGTTCAAAAAATATTATTCCGGGAATAAAAATCTCAAAATCAGAATTGAAGAACATCATTGAATCAGATCACCACGTGACTGTCCAGGAAATCACAGAAAGGTTGAACATACTGGACATTATTCAGCCATTTCTTGACATCTAAGCATGTTAGGGAAAGTCAAGAAACTCGACAAATGGGTACCACACAAACTCAGTGAGAGAATAAGGAGCATCATTTGGAGGTCCACAGTTCTTTAATTATTCATCACAAAAATGAAAGTATTCAAATGAAATTCTTTCCCATCCACCTTATTCTCCAGACTTTTTGCCAACAGACTACCACTTTCTTTTTTATACATTTGGGCTGTTTTTTTGGCAAGGAAAGTCTTCAAGGAAGAGGACACAATAAAAATTACCTTTAATGACTTTTTGGCTTCTCCAATTTGATATAAATCACAAAATTGCAATTTCTATCAAATTGGCATTAATACATTTCTGTTGCATTGGGAAAAGCGTATTAATGTTGGTGGAGACAATTTTTGATTGAATATGTAAGTTTTAAATTAAATTAATAAATGTTCAAAGTCAGAAGTAAAAATTGTCCATTTCATTTGCAACAATTTAATATATGAAAATCGTTTGTTTTTGCATTTTTGAAATGTATGTTTTGCTGCTTCACTTATAAGCAGGGCCGGATCAACCCGCTTTCAGGCCCTAGACATTTTCTTCCTACCGGGCCCCCTCTCTCTCACACAAGAAATAGAGCACACAAAAAATATAAAACAATAAATAAAACACAACTAAATAATGTGAAAAACTAAAACAAATATTAAATTTTTATTAATAAAAAATATTTAATATACAACAATAAATTTTAGTTTTTCTAGAAAAGTTTGAACAGTTTGTTTATAACTTTTAAAAAATTGAAATTTATTTTATTAAATGTTTAACAAAAGTTGTTAAACAATAACAAAAGTTGGTATACAATAACAATATTACCTTAAAATATTAATTGTTTAATTTAATCTTTTTGGTTAATATGTAAATAATATAATTTTTTACCCGTGAAAGATAAATTGAGTAATGAAAAAGATAATTTAAATAAAAGCCAAGGTAGTTTAAAAGAGTAAGTATATAAATATGAATAAACTTTATTTAAAAATTCTATTTTCTAGTCTTTAATTCAGCAAAATTATCAATTATTTCATCATAATTAATATTATCCAAAGCATTTTGTTCGATAAAAAGCTAAAGAATTTAATTCTGATTCACTCAGTGTGTTTCGTAAATAATTTTTTACACGTTTTAATACTGAGAATGACCTTTCACCAAAAACATTTAATATAGGCAAAGTTAAATATATTCGCATTAATATTTCTATATTTGAAAATGTTGATACTAGTTTTGTGCTCTTTATAAATTGCAGCATATCAGATGGCAACGTTAATTTTTGGCTTTTGCAAATTAATTTAGATTTGCAGCAATTCCTCGTCCGATTCTTCTGTATCAATATCGCCACTGTACCACTTTTTTAGCAATGCAGTATTAATTGATCCGTCCTCCGTACGTAATTGATATGTCGTCACCGTCAGTTATGCTTGTATGAAGAATTTAAAAAATTTAATCAATATCTTTCAAAATAAACAATTTACCCAGCCCTTCTAAAAACAGGGCCCTAGACATTTGTCTCATTTGTCTACGCGATGATCTGGCCCTGCTTATAAGAACATACCTTGCATAAAAGAGCACCATTAAACTGCTGTGTCAATGTAAATTAAATGTAATGTACTGATACAATAACTATACAGTGACATCTCTGTGGTAACCATTATTAAAAATAAAAAGTCAAAATAAAAAAATTACTTCTGATACTATAAAAATAGTGAATTTTTTTTAATGCACTTTGAGGAATATAATGCCAATTTTGTCCCATCTATAATAGCTGCTCTAATATATATAAGAGCATGGTTATATGCATAGAAATATGGTAATTTTTTAAATAAATTAATTAAAATAAATTTGAAATAGCTAATTTTAAATTCAGTAATTTTAAGAAACTGTTTCATAATTTGAAAATGTCCATTTTTCTGATAAAATATAAATTTATACTGATATAGATTTGTTTTTGCTATATTCTGTTAATAATATGAGAATATATATCTTTAAATATTACATTCTACCTTACTCATTTTCTTACAATGAAAAATTATTTACTCCATCAAAATCAATTTCATTGAATAAATAGCTTTCTAACATACACTTAAATGTTAAAATACATTAAATAATCAGAATACTTCCTTAAATTAAAAATAGCAAACATAAATTTAATATTTATTTGAATAGTTCAAACAGTTAAAGATTATCATCATTTTCTATTTTTAATTAATTTATAATGTTGGGATAGTATTTCAACAAGATTTAACTAAAAACATTTACTAGGAAAACTCAATAAGAGTTGTGCTTTACAGCCTGTGAAAAAAAGTATTTATCAAAATTTTGGAAAAATATTGTTATAAATTTTTCCCATGAAAATTATTATAAATAAGAATGGTGTAAAATACAATACTTATTTTTTTGGTCAGAGATTTTCAAAGCTTTATTGTTAAATTTTATTTTATATAGCTTAAAAATATTATCCATTGATTGTCATTGGTATATTTATCAAGTTCAACATATTGTATAATTAATTTGAATTTATGAAAGCTGTGTCTGATATGTGAGAGAACTGTTTCACCACATCATGCTTCTTGTATGCATTTCTCCATTTCATAAATCACCAATTTATCATAATACTTGTTATTTTGAGTAGTTTTTCATGTTTGATTGCTTCAACATGGTTTTGTAATCAAGTTTGACATATTGTGTTATTAATTAGGCTAAATTTATGAAGGATGTGTCTGAGAGAGCTGTTTCACTGTGCTATGTTTCTTGTGTATTCCTCCATCTAAATTGTCAATTCGTCGGGTAATTATAGGGACCTTGAATAAGTTCTCGCTGTTTTCCAACAGATGGCATTACCAGAACCGAATGTGTATATTTTTAGATGGTGATGCATCTGTAAGGAAGTATATTAAGCAACCTTGAAATTCAGTATATGTCATTTTGCCGAAGTGTAAACAACTTATTTTTTCATAGTGTTAAATATGTCGAGTTTCGTGCCAAAAAAAAAGATTACTTGCAGGGAATTTTATTGCACTATTTTATTCAAAAAAAATCTGCAGCTGTATTTTGAGTAAACTTTTTTCTTGTTTGTTTAATTCAGTGTAGTTGTGTTTCTTTTGGGCATTCAATTAAGCCACGGCTTCCACGACAAAGAAGTGAGCTATGAGGAATGAAGTTGAGCAGTCAGAAAATGCAAAATCCTACCCAAAGTCCTTCAGATCAAATTGGTTAATCAATTATGGCTTTTCTGAATGGTTGCTTCCAATTTCAGATGATACTAGTAACGTTTGTAATTGTACTTTGAATGGAGTAAAAAGTGAAGTACAAAAGCATTCTTCTTCCAGAAAGCCTCAAGAAACATAGAAGTCTTGCTTTGCAACTGCTATATTTCAAACACATTCATATCAAGATTTCCATAGATGAAGCTAAAAAAGCAGAGGTGATCCTTTTAGGTTTTGTTGCAGAATACAATATACATTCTTGGTGACTGATTTTTTATAACAAGAATTAAATAAAGTAATCAATGATTCAAAAATATTAAGAGAAGTAACATTGTGCAGGAAAAACTGTTCATCATTAATTAAGAATGTTATTGCTAAGATAGAAAATGGTGACACAATAGAAAACTGAAAAAGTACACACATTTTCTGAGATAATCAAGGAAAGCACAGACATTAGTGCAATTAAACATCTCTGTGTTTTGATAAAGTATTTTGATGGGAGTGGTGTTCTTTGTAATGAGCAATTATAGCATTTCTATTGATGCAATCAGTTATTCAACAGTTAAAATTGTGTTTCAGAAAAGGGTGTGATGTTCAAGAAAAGGTTCTCGTTAGGTAACTAAAACAAACACCCAACAAAAAAAGATACATGCAGTAGATGGTAGAAAATTTAATTTATTATTGCATGAAGTAATTATGTACAGGTACAGTACAATCAATAGATTCCAACTCTAGGATGGTTTATCCAGCAGTTATCCTAAACCTGATTGTTGGAGGGACAATTAAATATACAAAAATTATGACATCATACCAAGATCACAATAATAGTAATCTGTACAAAAATCAAAAATACTTATTACAAAATGAATTTCTTATCACTAATCCTTAATACTAAACTTACACTAAGAAAGGAAAATTGGAGATGGAGGGCAAGAAGTAGCAAAAATGGTGGATAGGACAGAACAAAGGTACCTGGATCATATGAATGTCTTTCTGGTGTTGTGAGGGGCCACATGAAAACTTCAAGAGGGTTTTCTTGGTCCAAGAGGGTTTTTATTTTATCCAAATTGTCGGTCACTCATTTGAAACTCACAACTCATCAAGTTGAATGTTGACTCCAACACACTAATTTCGGTCCAGGAATGTCCAGGGTTCTCTCTCCTCATTATGGCTTCATCCATCTCTTGGGTACCAGACGACTTTACATCTCTTCCTTTTCATCCTCTCTCTTCAAGAACACGCTCAAAAAATGACTTTCCTTCACCTCACATGCCCTCAAATAACCTCATATTCATTATGCTGGTGATTCCAGGAAGTGGCCCTCACCTCCAAGAAGGAAGAATTAAGGAAATTAGAAAGTTCTAGAACAGAGGTGGGGAACCTTTTTACCATTAGAGGCCACATTTAAATTAGGCAGCAATAAGAGAGGCCGCATAAGCTGATTGACCTAAGAAAGTGACTTTTGTGAAATTATTATAGTTTTTCTATAGATTTAACAATTTATTGCATTATATAGAAAAAATAAAATATAATACTACAAAATTTTAAATATAATATACATATAAAATAATATAAAAATATCATAAAAAAATACAATAAAAAATATTTTTTTATTCACTAAGTTAGTGACTTATTTGGCTTTGTTTTTTGTTTGACAGTAATTGTATATTTGGATCAAGCTTCGTAACACACAGCTTTAATTGATCCTCTAAATGTGCATCTGTAATTTGCGTTCTTAAATTTGTTTTTATTTTTGACATGAGAGAAAATGTTGTCTCGCAACAGTAGGTACTTCCGAAGCAGGAAAGTAAACGGCGAGCATGTTCTCGAAGGCATGGATATTCAACAGCATTTTTCCAGATTTCTATGGGATCCTTTTTAGCGTTAAAAAGGGATTTGATGATACTATCTTCCCCTAAATCAATTAACTCCATTTGTAGTTCTGCAGGAGCCTCGGATATATCTATTAAATGTGGTTCAAATGCCAGTTTCATAGCAGGAGTGTGCTCGTCAAAATCAGAAAATCTATTAGTATACTCTTCTATTAAACAATCCAAGACACCTACATATTCATCGAATATTTTATTTTCACAGTTCTGCTCATTTAACATTTTAGCTAGCTCCGGGAAGTGTTGTGCAGATATTTCCGATCGACAAAGCAATGTTTTGAAAAATGATAATTTTTTTCTAAACGCTTGGATCTTTTGCCACATTTCATAAATATACCTCGTTTCACCTTGCAGGCAAATATTTAAATTGTTTTGTTTTGTCATCATATCAGACAAAAATGCAAGGTTTCTGAGAAATACTTCATCTGATAGATCACATTGTTTTCCTTGTTCTTGATAAAAGTTTAAAATTTGTCGTCGTAAAGACAAAACTTTTATCAAAACCTGACCTGTTGATAGCCAGCGAACCTTGCAGTAGTATGGTAGGTCAACACTATACGTTTCCTCATCTAAAGAGAGCATCTGCCGAAATTCACGATGACGCATTGCATTTACGCGAATATA